CCAATGTGCCACTCGGCCAGCCCTCACCTTTTTTCTTGAATGTATTAATTGTAAGTCTTTGATCACTTTTAGTATCTGGCTAAGTGGTAAGTGTATTTCTGTTGTTCTTTTCTCGGTTTTTTGCTCTCATCCTTTGGTTCTGTCTCTTGGTGCCTGGTCATTGAACACCAGAATGAAAAATTGTAGAGGTTCTGGATGATGTTTTTCCTTCCAAGGATTTGTTTTCTTTAGGCAATTAGCCATATGGACAGATCACCTTGGTCCTGTTATGCACTTGAGATGTTTGGTGGTTGCTTTTCAGACTCTCCTTGGCTGGTATATTTCCTGGCTTCCCTGTAGGGCAGCAGTTCCCAAAATTTTGGTCTCAGGACCCCTTCACATTAATAAAAATTGAGGATCCCAAAGAACTTTTGTTAAAGTGTGTTATATCTATTGACAACTGTCGTTGTCTATTGGTATTAAAAACTAAGCCCAAGAAATTTAAAAATATTCATTTAAAAACAACAATAATCAAACCCATTACCTGTTAACATAAATAGTTTAAGGAAAAACTATTTTCCAAAACTTTTCAGTGAGAATAGTGGGTTTTTAATTTGCAAATCTCTTTAATATCTGGCTTAACGGAAGACAGTTGGATTCTGCTTCTGCATTCCTGTTGTGATATCACAGGTGAGCAAATGAATGGAAAAGGCAGAAAACATCTGAGTCTTATTATGTATAATAAATAGTTTTGATGTTGAGGGTGCTCTATCTGGAAGGGACCACACTTTGAGAACCGTGGCTTTACGGAGGAGCCTTCAAGTGGTCTTAGTGAGCCTGGTGGTTCAAAGGGCCCCTCATTCCAGCCTCCCAGCACCCGATACTGCTGAACCTTTCCTTAGCTCTTTAGTACCTTAGAAGTGGTTTTCTGTTTGGTGTCTTGGCCCCTAACCCCACCCCACACACAACTCAGGACTTGGCAAATGCCATGGAGTGAAATCGCATACGAGAATGTCTGCCTTGCATTTCCGCATTTCCCTTTTCTTTAGCATCTTGGCCCCTTGAGTCCCAGCTGCCTTGGTAACCTGGAGCCCCCACTTTGCTTTCCCCACCCAGGGAGGCCACTGAAAGGTCCCACTTCAAGGGGGAAAGGCACAGGCCAAAAAGCATCTCCCTTCTCTCTAGGCTCTTTGCCCCCAAAGCCGTGGCTGCTGCAGTCATTCTCCAGTGCTTTCAAACGACTGTATTTTATTCGGCTTATATAGTGTTCTTGGCAGGAGTGTTAGTCTGATAGAAAATCTCCATTGTAGCTGGGAACAGACGTCAGCATACAGTTCTCTCTCTTTTTTTTTTTTTTGGTGGACTTGCTTAACAATTTATCTCGGAGATCTTTCCCCATCTTTTTGAAAAGAGCCTCTTCGTTCTTTTTCATGTATGCGCAGCCTTTTATGGATGGGCCATCGTTGGTTTAATTAGAGGATTTCTAGCGTGTCACTACTATAGACTGATTACGCGTGAGCTTGTACATGTGCATATCTACCCATAGGTTAAACTCCTGGAAGTGGAACTGTCATGTCTTTAATCCGTATGAGTGCTTGTCATTTTGAGAGCTGTCACCTAATTGTCCTCCATGGTGTCATACCAATTCATCCTTCCCAGCATGTCTGAGAAGGGCAAACTGGTTTGAGCTGCTGAACGGCCTACAGGCCATAGCCAGACTCAGGGAGAGGAGCAGGGCTCTCCCGTGCCTTATTGGCCCGAGTCCGAAGCCAGATCACCCCTGTGGTCTCTCCCAGGACACATTTGACATCCGGATCCTGATGGCCAAGTCTGTCAAGTACACGGTGAACTTCTTAGAAGCCAAAGAAGGGGATTTGCACAGGTACCAGCTCCCATGCCCCTCCTCCTGGGCCATTGCTGGCTCCCATAGGCATTCCGCTGCCCCAGGGCAGGTGGGCGGGACTGCGCACTGCCAACCCCTCTGCTCTCCTAGCAGCCCCTGTTTGGCTTCCCCAGCAATCACTGCCCTTTGCCTTCCAGGATAGAAATCCCATTCAAATTCCACATGCTGCATTCCGGACTGGTTCACGGTCTGGCTTTCTGGTTTGACGTCGCGTTCATTGGCTCCATGTGAGTGCAACAGAGCAGAGCATGCTGCCCCCAGTCCCCTAGGACTTCCCTGCAGCTGTGATCCACAGGACTGGCTGCTTTGGAAGCTGAGCCGGGGGCTGGAAGGGCAGGATGTTACCCCTCCAGGTTCCCCAGTCCCTTCCAAAAGGCAGTGAGAGCTTGCCTTTGAGCCGGAGACTGTTCTGGGAGGAGAGTGTGTCTACCCTGTTCTGAGTGACTGTCCTTCACGGGGCCTAGTCTGTCTCTTGGCACATACGTCAGGGTTGATGGGCACCCCATGGCCGTGGTCCCCTTGTGTGTGTATGTGTGGGTATGTGGCTGGGACTGCCTGCGTGCCCAGCCTGTCTTAGCTCTAGGGCCCCAGGGGACCCATCAGAGGGCAGACACCTGGGGAGAGCTCAAGGTGCACAGGGCGGTGGCTCCAGTCCAGTAAAGCACATGCCTGTCCCTGCTTGGCAGAATGACCGTGTGGCTGTCCACGGCCCCGACAGAGCCCCTGACCCATTGGTACCAGGTCCGGTGCCTGTTCCAGTCACCACTGTTCGCCAAGGCCGGGGACACGCTCTCAGGGACATGTCTGCTTATTGCCAACAAAAGGTGTGAGCTGCCTGCCGCCCAGGGCTGGGGGAGGCAGGGAACCGTCACCCAGCCAGCTCATGGCTACCCTCTCCTGCTCTCTCCACAGACAGAGCTACGACATCAGTATTGTGGCCCAGGTAGACCAGACGGGCTCCAAATCCAGTAACCTCCTAGATCTGAAAAACCCCTTCTTCAGGTACGATGATGGGTCCTTGGCCTGCGTGGGGGGCGCCTTCCTGGCCCACAGCCCCTCGGCCCTGCCCATGGGTCCATCTCTGCCGCAGATACACAGGCACGACACCCTCGCCCCCTCCTGGCTCCCACTACACATCCCCCTCAGAGAACATGTGGAACACGGGCAGCACCTACAACCTCAGCAGTGGGATGGCCGTGGCTGGTGAGCAGGCCCCCCGTGTGGGGTGGGTGGGTGGGTAGCAGGGCCACTTGCTGTTCATACCTGCCAGCGCTCCCTGGGCAAAGCTGGCAATTCTGGCCCCTCACACCCTGCCCAGGACACTGTCCCCTCCCCTGACATCTCCCTCTCTGGGCACAGGGATGCCGACTGCCTATGACCTGAGCAGTGTTATCGCTGGTGGCTCCAGTGTGGGCCACAACAACCTGATTCCTTTAGGTGAGTATCCCCGGGTCTGGGTGCGGTGGGGGTGCCACCCAGGATGGCCTGTGTACTTGGGCCTTCTGTATCACCATCGCCGTCCTCCTTTTCCTCTTCCTTGGGGCTCCTGGCTGAGGTCCTCCATTCCTCTCTGCCTCGCTCTGCCGCCACTGCGCCCACCCTCTCTGCACCCTGGTGTGAAATCACGAGTGGGAGCGCCCACTGCGGGCAGAATGTGGGCTGGGGCTGGCCGGGGGCGGTGACGCCGTCTCCCTTCCTTCCTTCCTCCCTCTGCTGCGCAGCCAACACGGGGATTGTCAATCACACCCACTCCCGGATGGGCTCCATAATGAGCACGGGGATTGTCCAAGGTAATGAGGGAGTGGGTCCCGCGGGTGTGAGCGCTCTGACTGCCGGGCAGCCCACCCGCCCTCTCGCCTGCTCTTTCTCCCTCTGACTCTGCTGTGGGGCTGGGTGGGCAAGGAGGCAGAGCTGGCCCTCAGTGTCCACGCCTCACTCCACAGGATCCTCCGGCGCCCAGGGCAGCAGTGGCAGCAGCTCCAGTGCCCACTATGCGGTCAACAGCCAGTTCACCATGGGTGGCCCTGCCATCTCGATGGCCTCGCCCATGTCCATCCCAACCAACACCATGCACTATGGGAGCTAGGCCCCTCCAGCGGAGAATGGACTGTCAGCACCAGGAAACCAAATGAAGACCCTGCCCACCCACCCCTCCACCCAGGTGGCTTTCACCCCTGTACTGGAGAAGCCCAAACACCGGTCACAGCCCTCTTTGCTATGGGAACTCGGACACTTTTTTACACAATGTTGCCGCTACTACCCTCACCCTACTGCCCACCCACATCTTGGCCCTGAGCGCGTATCGCTGCCATATTTTACAGAAGATCATGTCGTGGGAGCCCTGTTCCCCCCTCCTGCCCTCTCCACCCTGACCTGGGTTTAACATCTCCCCTAACAGGCGTGTCCAGGCCTGACAGCTATGGGCCCTGTGGGGAGCAGCTGCTGCCCCATCCCCGGGCACCTGCCCCCCCCTGTCTGTCTCCAGTGGGAAGGCAATCCTGGCTAGGCAGGGCCTTCCCTTCAACTACCAGGCCTTGGTCACAATGGGCGTGACATGCTGCTTTTTTTAATTTTATTTTTTTACGAAAAGAACCAGTGTCAATCCACAGACCCTCTGAGAAACCAGGCCGGCCGGGCCGAGCCAGCAGCCCCTCCCCAACTCAGAGGTTAGTGGTGAGGGGTGGCCCTGCTGGATCTTCAGGACAGGGTGGGGCAGGGCCTGTGCAGTCCCACAGCCCCTCCCACAAAAGGGTTCACCTCACACTTGAATGTACAACCCACCCTGGCTGTCGTGAAGGCCCTCCGTCCTTGGCCCTGCCTCTTGCTGCTGTCCTGTCCCCAAGCCCCTGCGGGTCCCCCACCCCCAACAAGAGCTAGAACAGGCAGCCTGTGGGCCTGGATGGGGAGGGTCACTGTCAGCCACTGTGGGCAGACACAGAAACCTCAAGGATCTGTCATGGAAGGCGTCCTTTTCCTTGTAGCTAAAATTAGGCCTGTGTATTTCCCTCAATATTTGTAGATGTTTCAGTCCCGACTACAATGATGGCATTTTGGTCCCTTCCCAGCCTGAGAAGGAGCCTTGCAGGGACCTTTCCCTCCAAAAAATAGAAAAACAAAATAAACAAGGAAATGTATATTTCAGCACAGGCAATTTTCTTCTACTTCTGCCCCGCCTGATTCTAACACCCCCAAACTTGGATGTGTTGGCGCTGAGGCCAGACCCTGCTAACTGGGCACACTGGGAAGGGTGGGCAGCTGAGGTTGGGGTGGTCCCATTTGCTCTCCTGCCTGTCCCATTGGGGAAAGCAGAATGCTCAGCAGGCGGCCTGTGGGGTGACAGCTGCACTGGACACTCCCTGCTCAGCCACCCCTCTCCCGCCTTTATATAAATTCTCTGAATCACCTTTGCATAGAAAATAAAAGTGTTTGCTTTGTAAGAAAAGTGTGGAAAGTAACAGAGTGATCTCGAAGTGTCAAGGGAGCCTTCAGTCATCATCTGGGGGCCAGGGCAGGCAAAGGCATCCCCTCATGTTGGACCTGAAAAAGAGAAACTAGTAGTGGCCCTGTGACTTCTCACTTTGGGGGGTAGGGGGAGGCTGGAAGCCCTTCCGCCACAGCTAGAAACAATTCCTTACCTGTAGGCTAGTGCCTTCCTAGGTTACCATGGTCCTTGGTGAGGTGGATGTCAGGAGTGTATTTGGGGTCAGAGATATGACCTGGGATGGAGGTGCTCCGTGCTCCAGAGGCAGTGACTGGAAGAAATAAAACTGAACCGAGACCCCCTGGGATCAGCTTCGGGGCCAGCAAGCTGACCCCCAACCCCAAGGCCCAGCTGTGACCACCCCAGACCCATACCTTACAGCCCATGGCCAGGAGGGCATGGAGCAGCACAACGGCAGACAGCAGCACAGAGGCTACCAACCTGGTGTCCTCGCGGACGACGGGCCAGAGGGTGAACACCAGGCCAGAGGCTGACAGGGCCAGAGCCAGCGCCCCAAAGAGCCACTGCAGCCACGGGACAGGGATCAGCCACAAGACCTGGGGGCGACATGGCAGCTGGCTACCAGGTGTCTCCACGGCACCTGCCCCCCACCACCCCGTGGGCCGCACTCACCACAGTGGGGATGAAAACAAAGAGGGAATAGCCATAGACGCACACAGTCTCCAGGTAGGTGTAAGGCCCCATGCGCTCCTGGAGGCCCTTGCGCCACCGCAGAAAGCCCCACAGTGCCAGCGGCACCAGCCAGGCGTAGCCGTAAATGGTGATGCCAGCCACAGTCACTGCAGGGCAAGGCAGGCAGTCACCCCACTGGGGCCCTGGGCCCCCCTCTCCCTGCCCCCACCAGGTGCTGGGTCTTGCCTGCTTGCTTACCTTTGTGAAACTGGGGACTGTAGTGGATGGAGGGGTCCCTCCTCTGGGCCAGCACCAGTGTCAGGTTGCCGGTAACGGCCAGGACGAAGGCCAGTGTGGCGCAGATCCAGAAAGGGCCTGAGGGTGGGGTGTGTTCAGGGTCCCAGGCCCAGAGCTCCTAGGACAGGTGACTTGTCCTGTTTGTCCCAACCTCTTCCCAAACTCTGGGGGGCTGTCTCCACCCCATCCAACTCAACTCACACCCATGACAACCTGGTGGCTGAATCCAGTGCTGGCTCTCAGTCCTCACTTTTCTTGGCCTTTCAACAGTCTTTGACGTAGCTGATCCCTCCTTCTGGAAACACTCTCCTCACTCTTGGCTTCTGTCTCATGTCACTGGCAATTCCTCAAACTCTTCGATAACCTGACCTCTTTAATGATAGGGAGCCAGCTGGGCCCAGTTCTCGGCCCCGTCTCCATTTGTGTTCACCCCTTGCGTGATCTTGTTCAACTTCAGGCTTTGTGCCACCTCTAGGCGGATGACTCCCAAACATCTCAAGTCCGGGCCTCTACCCTGAACCTCGGGTGTATAGTCAACGTTTCCACATGTGCACCACACTTGCACTTTCCTTTCAAACCTACCCAGCTTTTCCCATCAATAAACAGCAACTCCATCCTTCTCATAGTCCAGGCAAAAACCTTGGTGCCCTCCATGGCTCCTCTCTTCCCATCCCACATCTAGTGGCTCAGCAAACCCCTACCTTCAAGACAGGCCCAAATCCAACCACTTCTTCCCCCCTGGGGCCAAGCCCAGCACCATCCCACACCTGGACTAGGACAGTCGCCTCTTCCCTGGTCTCCTGGCTTCTACCCTTGCCCTGCACAGTGGCCAGAGGGCACCTAAGAGCACTTACAAGTAAGATCCCTTCTCAATGAGGCTTAGGAGGCCTGTGTAATCTGTCAACCTGGTGGCTACCTGGCAGCTCACTCTGCCCCAACGACAATGGTGCCCTGCAGTTCAGGCGCGTTTCAGCCACAGGTCTTAAACCCTTTCTGGAGTGTTCTTCCCCTAGGTCTCCCCACCCTCAACCCTGACACCAACAAGGCTCATTCCCTCACCTTCCTCAGAGAGGCCTTCCCTGAGCAACCCATGCAAAGTAGCAACTCATCCTGTACACCAACTGCTTCTCTTCCTCGCCCCATCGCTCTCTGCAATCATTTTGTATCTGTCTCCCTGAACTGTATAAGTTTCATGTTCTCCGTGAGTGATTCTGCTTTTGTCTCAGCTGTATTCCAGGGCCTGGCACTCAGTTCACATTTGCTGAATGAATAATTGAATGAGCTGAAAGCACAACCTCACTCACCATACAGGTCTGGTCGATTCCGCAGATGGTGCCGTACAAAGTTGTGGCCGGGTCTGGGCAACAGCGAGCCTTTGATGCGGTCCAGAACCTGGAGGCAAGGCCGGGGCCCAGGATGGAAGCCTGCCAGGACTTCCCACCACCCACAGAGGAAAGGGCCCAAGCTCTTCCCCTGACCTTAGAGGCTTTCTGCTGCCCTCCCACCACCCCTTTCCATACTGCTTGAAAGGAATCAGCTCTTCCCTCTGGGATTTTAACGGGCTGTTCCCATGGCCTGGAGCCCCTTCCCCTGGCCAGACCCCACTCAATATTCCAGTGTTCCATTACTCTGAAGGACTTCTGGGCCTGCCATCTTCGTCTTTGCTAGGCTACCCTGGACTGTCGCCACTGCTGCCTCCCCTAACCCCAGTAAGGACAGTCAGCTAGTCATGGGCATTCTCCTTCCCACATATCTCCAATAGATCCCCTACTCTGTAACCCTGGCTTATTATCTTCTACCTGGCCTGGGGCCTCTGATCCACCTTCCATGTTGCATATCAGCTCATTCCACTCCATCTTCTCCTGCTCTAGACCCAGGACTCTCCAGCACCCTCAGGATAAAACCCGAACTTAAAATAGCTCACAAGGCCCTTTGTGATCTGGCTTCTGCCTGCCTCACTCTCCAACCAGATTGAGTGACAGGTAGCTTCTGTGATAGCTCATGCTTTCTCTCATCTTTTGGTCCTCTGTATACGATGTCCCTATGCCTGGAATATACTTATGCTTCTTTCCACTCTGCCCTGACAAGTGTTCCTTCATTTCTGTCTCAGCAAATTCCTCACCTCCTCCAGGAGGCCTTTCTCTAACCTACCATATCATGTGCATCCCATGTTTCCAAAAGCCCTAGTCATCACATCATAATCCTTACAGTACACCTGTTACTTCTGCTAGCCTGCGTGGAAGCTCTTCTTCTCCCACATGTGTATCTCCAGCAACTTGCCCAGGTGCACAGGAAGTGCTCAGTGAATAGTAGCTGAACCCTGAACATGACTCCGCGTCCATCCCACCAAGGTTCCCGGGCCTGACCTGCGAGGTATCCACGTCAAAGAAGCTCTGATAGTAGTCAAAGGTCCAGAATCCGGGCTGCTGCTGCTCCTCCTGTAGAAGCTGCACAGTGCGGGCTTTCAGTGCCTGCCCTTCCAGCCTGGGTCAACAGGGGGCAGGACGGAGGCAGGGCACAGGAACTTCTGTGACTCACCGCAGTCTTGTCACTTTCCTCCACCTCGTCCTCAGCTCCCAAGCCCACGGCCACAGCCACATGCCTCTGTGGGGTCAGCTGATCACTTCTGCTGGTGGTGGCTGCATCTGGGGTCTCGGCCAGCAGATTAGTGGCTTCCTCAAACTCTACCGAGAATAAATGCGGCATACAGGCATGTTTGGGGGGTCAGGACAATTTGGTTTAGCCCACTGCTCATCTGGGGTCGACTAACCATGGTCACCTCAGTGCTCTCCCCAACTGAGGGCCTAGCCCAGCTTCTTCAATTTTGGGGAGTGGAAAGGTGTGTTCCCCTCACAACAAGGGATCGCAAATGAGGGCTGGTTCTAAGATGGGGTCAAGTCTGGGGTTTGGGGCTGGGTTTAAGGTCAGTTCAGGGCTGGAGTGGGGTTCGAGTTAGGGCTGGGTTTCATGCCTGGGGTCAGGGTTTACAACTGACTGCTGCTTCTGTTAGATATGAGTTGGGACCTGGATAGGAGGTTCTGGCCAGGTCGCAGCCGCACTCACCGTGGAAGGCTAGCTCGTCGGCCGCTGCCATAGTCGCTCAGGGGCGTCACCGCATCTCGCTCTGAGGACAGAAGCCAATCAGGCCCGCCCGTAATCCCACTCGGCACCCTTCCTGGAGTCAGCCCCGAGCCGGGCCTGGCGGCTAGCCATACTCACCCGGGCGTGAACTCGCCGTCCCTACCACACAGGTGCAACCCGCCCCTCCTCACCTGAGGCCGTCTCACCGGCGAGACCAGGGGTTTCTGCGCCTGCGCGGCCCGCCTACACGTCAGTCAATCCAACTCGGCCCACAAAGCAACATCCGGCTCCTGTCCGTTTTCTCTCTTCTTCCGATGGGAAGCCACTTCCGGTAGTTTTGGCGCTTGCGCAGATAAGACTGCCCGGACCGTTTACTTCGACTCCTGGCGTTTCTCTTCGGAGAACGGTCGCTAAGCCGGAAAAGAATGGCGGCGGGCGCTCTGAAGAGACTTTGGTCGCGAAGCCGCGGAGAGGTGGAGGACGCGGCAGCTGCTAAGCCGGGCGTGTGGGCGCGGTTGGGTGAGTAGCGGCGAGCGGAGGGAAAGGTAACCGCAGCGGCTGGACCTCTCTCATCGCGCTTCTTTCCCTTTAGGCGTCTGGGCCCGCGCGCTGCTCCGGGACTACGCCGAGGCCTGCGGGGACGCGGCGGCTGCGGCGCGGGCCCGGCCAGTGAGGGCGGCCGTGTACGTGGGGTTGCTGGGCGGCGCGGCGGCCTGCTGCGCGTTGGCACCGAGCGAGGCGGCCTTCGAGGAGGCGCTGCTCGATGCTTCGGGGACCCTTTTGCTGCTGGCGCCGGCCACGCGCAACCGCGATTCAGAAACGTACTTGCAGCGGCTCCTCTGGCTGCGGGGCCGCGGTCGCCTGCGCCACGTGAACCTGGGTCTCTGCTCGCTGGTGTATGAGGCGCCCTACGACGCCCAGGCCAGCCTCTACCAGGCCCGCTGCCGCTACTTGCAGCCCCGCTGGGCCGAGTTCCCGGACCGGATCCTGGACGTGGGCTTCGTGGGCCGCTGGTGGGTGCTGGAGGCTCGGATGCGCGATTGTGACATCAACGATGACGAGTTTCTCCATCTGCCGACACATTTGCGCGTCGTCGGGGCCCATCAGCTGCGCTCTGAGGCCAACGAGCGGCTCTTCGACGAGAAATACCAGCCTGTAGTGCTCACTGACGATCAGGTGGACCAGGCGCTGTGGGAGGAGCACATCTTGCAGAAGGAGAAGAAGGACAAGCTGGCCCTGAGCCAGGCCGACTCGCTTGTGCAGTCGGAGGACCCAAGATGAAACACAGTGAGACCGGGGTCCCGACGCAGCTCCGAGCCCTGGCCTGCTGTTTGCACGGGATTGTGCAGTTGGTGTGAGTGAGCCTGAAGTGCAGAGTGACTGAATAACATGCAGAGTGTTCTCCCGCTGGGTTTTCACAAAATTAGGGGGTCTTTTTTTTCTTCTCACATCGTTTCTTGTTACCTGAAGCTAATTCAGAGCCTTCTTGGTCTAGGAGTTGGGGAGAGCAGCGCCACAAGACCATATAATGTTTATCACTGCCAGAATTTGTAATGAGCCTTATACATAAATAAGTCTTTTACATTGGGGCTCTCGGTCCCCCTGACTGAGGTATCATATCTGTTAGGTGACTCCCAAGCTCTCCTAAGGCCATTCAGATTGTTGTTTTAAATTCTTAGCTGCAATGTTTATACTCTGATTTTCATGAGTAACTTTTTGTTTTTTTAATTTTAACTTATTTTGAAATAATTATAGTCCCAGAGAAAACCAGAATAATAATAACAGAGACATCCTGTGTATCTTTGTCCAGCTTCCCCCAAATGGAAATATTTTATATAAGCAGTACCAAACTAGAGATTGACATTGGGAGGACTATTTGGATTTTACAGGGAAATTTTGCAAAAACAACCTGCTTTTTACCATTTGTGTATTGATAGTTACGTTAAAGTGACTTGGAAGGATAAAACATTTTCTGAACTGGAATCATAGATTCTGCCTTTGTTATACTTTAGTAACCTTGAAAACACAGCATCCTATGTTACGGAATATGTTAATGTACTTAACTGGTACTTAGCTAGGTTATGATAATCATACTTTAAAAACTATTAGAAGAATGAGACTAACTCTCTCACCTAGGTGGCCTGTGGCTAGTTAATAAAACCAGGAGATGAAACAGCCAGCTTTGTTACGATGTTTGTGTTCGTGTGCTTTGCTATTAAGTTTTGGTAGTTGAACCTTCCATTCCTACAATGGGTGCACTGGACACATGATAATTTTTATCCTTATTTTATCCTTATTTTGGGAGCAGGGGAGCGTCTTCCAAGTCAGCATTTCCATTCTACAAAGGAAAAAGGTTCAGTTAAAAAAGTTTATTTTTCCAAGACTGTGGCAGAGCCATGATTCAAACTGTAACTCCCATCCTTCTCAATTCTCAAATTCACAGCACCATCTTTGATCCTGATAACTTCCTGCCAGAAATTAAGTGCTGCTATCACTAGCCATAAATAAAATTTGCATACAGAAATAAATTTTTTTAAATGCAATGAAAACAAAAGAAATAATACTAAATTCTAATCCTATAATGTTATATGCCAAAGGCCCTGGACCTGAATCCTGATATTTTTGTTCAAGAGAAAGAGAGAGAGATTAGCCAACTTCACGGAAGGGTTTAAGCCACACTGGCATCAAAGTGAGACTTGTTCCTCACTGTGATCGGAAGTATTAAAAGAGGACTGCACGTCTTCATTGCTTGAGTCAGTTACTAAGTGCCACTTCTGACTTCCTGCCATGGTGTGTTCCATGCAAACCCCCATAACAAGCTCAGTTAGTGGTTGGCAACAAACTAAACAACTCTCAATGTGTTCTTAGGAATTAAGGGGCTTGGTATAGGCCTGAAGTCTATGTGGCTTTCTCTGGTTAGCAGGGTTGGCCTTTCCCAGAGGAATCCTGCCATATTTTTACTCCCCGCTCCAGTAGCTCTGGCCTCCTGAGTTTGATGGAAGGCATGTGGACTGGAGCTGTTAGATTGAACAGGGGACCAGGTAGTCCTCATGCTCTGCATCTCGGGCCATACACAGGCTCCCACAGGACAGGTCCAGGTCTCCTTTTTCACTGAGGAGCTCCCATCTCCCCACAGTGCTCAGCCTATTGTGAGCCCCAGCAAACGTGGAAAGACTTAAACGAGATACTACACATGTCCATTGTGGGTGGGAGCCGGTATAGTCTAGCAAGTAGCAAGCAGACCGAGGTTGGCTCCCTTTCCATTGGCCAGCCCAGGGGAAGAGGCCCTCTGGACTCAGCCCTGCCTAGAGCCAGAAACAGCAAAGTGGACATACTGTCACGGTTTCCATAAGGGCAGTAGGATCTGGAAAGAAGTGGGCTTTAAAGTAGGGTTTGAACCTCAGCTTTCACACTTACTAACTTTTTAACTGACCAGGGCCAGAGCAATTAGGCAAGAAAAAGGCATCCAAATCATAAGTAAAACTATCACTATAGTCACGTGCCACCTAGTGATAGATATGTTCTGAGAAATGCGTCATTAGGGGATTTTGTCATTGTGCAGACATCACAGAGTGCACTTCCACAAACCTAGATGGTACAGCCTACCACACACCGAGGCTACACGGTACAGCCTACTGCTCCTAGACTACAAACCTGTACAGCATGTTACTATAGTGAATACTGCAGGCAATTGTAACAGTGGTAAACATTTGTGTTTCTAAACATAGAAAAGGTATGTTTATCTAAACATGACATACAGTATAAAAGATAAAAAATGGCACACCTGTATAGGGCACTTAGAGCTTGTGGGACTGGAAGTTGCTCTGGGTGAGTCAGTGAGTGACTGAAGGCCTAGGACATACTGTACACTGCTGTAGACTATAAACACTGGACACTTAGGCTACACAAGATACCATATTTTATATTTAAACATACCTTTATGTTTAGGTACACAAATACCATTGTTAGAATCAAGTTAATCCATTGTGACTTGATTTTTGTGTATGGTGTAAGATAGTGGTCCAGTTGCATTGTTTTGCATGTGGCTGTTCAGTTCCCCAACATCATTTATTGAATAGACTGTCCTCTGCCCATTGTGCATTCTTGGCTCTTTCGTTGCAAATTAATGAATCTATAAAACTATAAGAAAATAGGCAATAAGCTCCTTGACATCGATCTTGGTAGTCTTTTTGGATTCGACACCAAAAGCAAAGGCAACAAAAGAAAATCAAGTGGGACTATGTCACACTAAAGAGAAACCATAAACTAAATGAAAAGGTAACCTGATGAATGAGAAAATATTTGCAAATCATATATATCCAAAATATATAAAAACTCATACAACTCAATGGCAAAATTACAATCCAATTAAAAAATTAAGAATAGAGCTGGCATATGATCCAGCAATTATACTTCTGGATTTTTAGCTGAAGTAAACACTAACTTGAAAAGATACCTGCACCTTCATATTCACTGCAGCATTATTTACAATAGATACGGTAACAACCTGGATGTCCATCAGTAAATGAATGGATAAAGTAGATGTGGTGTATACAACCATAAAGAAGGAAATCTTGCCATTTGCAACAATATGGATGGACCTTGAGGGCATTATGCTAAGTGAAATAAGTCAGACAAATGCCGTATGATCTCTCTCATATGTAGAATCTACAAAAAAAGCTCATAGAATAGATTAGTTGCTGTTGAGAGGGTATGGGTAGGTGAAATGGTGAAGGGAGTCAAAAGGGACAAACTTCCAGTTACAAATAAGTCACGGGGATGTAATGTTCAGCGTGGTGATTACAGTTAATAATACTGTATTGCATGTTAAAAAAGAAAAAGTTTGAATCTCAGCTTTCACACTAGCTTTGTGACTGACCTGGGACAGGTGAAGTAACCTCTCCACGCCTCAAGTTCCTTATCTGTAAGTGGGAATGATTCTGTCAGGACTGTTAGGAAAAAATCAAACCACACGAAAGCATTCGCAGTCTGTGGTGTGGCTGTGTGGGGAGGATTAAGGCTGTCAGTCCATCCATGCCCTTCCCGTTTTACCTTACGGCAACTGCTGCTCCCCAGTTATGGACAGCCCTGCCTACTGGGATGGAGCTGGCTCAGGACCGCCCCATGGGGAGAGCTCAGTAAATAGAGGACCAATTGAGCCCAGAGCCTGGGTGTGGGTGTTGCTCGGAGCCAAAAGATACTTGAATCTAATATGAACATTTTCCAGTTCTCCCTTCCTCTTAAAATTTATTCTTGATTAGCTTTCACTGTTTTGCTAGG